TCGGAGGGGACAAAACTGCCCCCTCTTCCGGAACGATACCCTATCTCTAGACAAACTAATTCCAGGGTGTTGACTCCGTTAAAAAGAAAAGATAACTCCTTCCAAGACTTGTGCCACCGTCCCCACATTCAGTTACGTTACCGTGGAGAATCCACATCCAAGTGCTGGAATTTCAACCAGCTTCCCTTTTGGAGAAGGCCCTTCGGGCCGTACGCGACAGTTATGCCACCCCTTAGGATCGACTTACCCGTGTCCAACTGCTGTTCACACGGAACCTTCCCCACTTCAGTCTTCAAAGTTCTCATTTGAATATTTACTACCACCAAGATCTACCGTTCGACGCAGCCTCACGGCCAACGCTTCTCAACAACCCCCACGCCTGCCTACTCGAGAGGAAACCTCCTCTCGGTAGAGTATAGGTAACACGCTTAAGCGCCATCCATTTTCAGGGCTAGTTCATTCGGCCGGTGAGTTGTGACACACTCCTTAGCGGATTCCGACTTCCATGGCCACCGTCCGGCTGTCTAGATAAACTAACACCTTTTGTGTGTCTGATGAGCGTGTATTCCGGCACCTTAACTCCACGTTCGGTTCATCCCGCATCGCCAGTTCTGCTTACCAAAAATGGCCCACTAGAAGCTCTTCATTCGTAGTCTAAGTTCGATTAAGTAACCAAGACTTCTTACATATTTAAAGTTTGAGAATAAGCCGAGGGCATTTCGCCCCCAATACTTCTAATCATTCGCTTTACCTCATAAAACTGATATGAGCTTCTGCTATCCTGAGGGAAACTTCGGCAGGAACCAGCTACTAGATGGTTCGATTAGTCTTTCGCCCCTATACCCAAATTCTACGATCGATTTGCACGTCAGAACCGCTACGAGCCTCCATCAGAGTTTCCTCTGACTTCACCCTATTCAGGCATAGTTCACCATCTTTCGGGTCCCAATGGATGTGTTTACTCAAAACTGTCATAAAAGTTCGTTCGATTCTGAACGAATCATTCACTTTCATTGCGCGCTGGGGTTTGCCACCCTAACACACATATCCATTAGACTCCTTGGTCCGTGTTTCAAGACGGGTGAAATGGGCGGATTATGTCGTTGACTGCAGTGGGAGAAAGGTGAGAAGCATGAATGCAACCCGTTTGTTTTTTCTCGTCTCGCGGACAATGACTCGGCGTCGGCAATACACCACCCCAAAGGGAGGCTGAAACCTCAACCACTCTCCGCTTTTTCCTTCCCTATCAACAATTTCACATACTATTTCACTCTCTTTTCAAATTCTTTTCACCTTTCCTTCACAGTACTTGTTCGCTATCGGTCTCTCACCAGTTTTAGCTTTAGATGGAGTTTCCACCCACTTTGAGCTGCCCCAAACGAACTCTCTTTGATAAGGCAATACATGGAGAACGGTTAGCCAGGGGGTTGTCACCCTATGACGTACTATTCCAAGTAACTTGGGTTAGCTTTTCTCCAATGCCAAATTTCAAATCCCGAGGGTTTCAAATTTGAGCTTTTGCCGCTTCACTCGCCGTTACTGAGGCAATCCCTGTTTTTCTTTTCCTCCGCTTATTGATATGCTTAAGTTCAGCGGGTAATCTCGGATGAAAGAGGTGAAATAAATGATATTGAGATAATAAATTCATTTCAAGAAAGCAGTGCGATCCCAAAGGGAACACGCTCTTCCATCCGTGCGGTACGGAATACCATACCGCGCAATGTGCGTTCAAAGATTGATTTCACATCTGCAAGTCACAAAAAATATCGCGGTTCGCTGCGTTCTTCATCGATGTGAGAGCCAAGAGATCCGTTGTTGATAGTTATAATTTGATTGTGATGCTTTAAAATAGTAATATTCACAAAAGTAATATGTATCAGTAATGATCCTTCCGCAGGTTCACCTACGGAAACCTTGTTACGACTTTTACTTCCTCTAAATAATCAAGTTTGACCAAGTTTGGGGTGTTCAAAGCGGGTTGCCCCGCTAATCACTCCCTCCCAAGGTCTCACTAAACCATTCAATCGGTAGTAGCGACGGGCGGTGTGTACAAAGGGCAGGGACGTAATCAACGCAAGCTGATGACTTGCGCTTACTAGGAATTCCTCGTTGAAGAGCAATAATTGCAATGCTCTATCCCCAGCACGACGGAGTTCACAAGATTACCTAGCCCTCTCGGGCTTGGTCAACTCGCTGGCTCCGTCAGTGTAGCGCGCGTGCGGCCCAGAACGTCTAAGGGCATCACAGACCTGTTATTGCCTCGAACTTCCATCTACTTGTAATAGATAGTCCCTCTAAGAAGCTAGCTACCTGCAATCGCAAGTAGAGCTATTTAGTAGGTCAAGGTCTCGTTCGTTATCGCAATTAAGCAGACAAATCACTCCACCAACTAAGAACGGCCATGCACCACCACCCACAAAATCAAGAAAGAGCTATCAATCTGTCAATCCTTATTGTGTCTGGACCTGGTGAGTTTCCCCGTGTTGAGTCAAATTAAGCCGCAGGCTCCACTCCTGGTGGTGCCCTTCCGTCAATTCCTTTAAGTTTCAGCCTTGCGACCATACTCCCCCCAGAACCTGATCACTTTGATTTCTCGTAGAGCGCGGATACCGTAAAAGCGGTACCCATTCTCAGTCGGCATAGTTTACGGTTAAGACTACGACGGTATCTGATCATCTTTGATCCCCTAACTTTCGTTCTTGATTAATGAATACATCCTTGGCGAATGCCTTCGCAGTAGTTAGTCTTGTGTAAATCCAAGAATTTCACCTCTGACAACACAATACTGGACGCCCCCGACTGTCCCTATTAATCATTACGTGGGTTTGCAAGCCAACAAAATGGACCCTCGTCGTGTTATGTTATTCCATGCTAATATATTCAGGCGAAACCTGCGTTGAACACTCTAATTTTTTCAAAGTAACTGGAAGATTCCTTCCGTAGGAAGGATAAATAAATATCCCTCCGACATTCAACTACGAGCTTTTTAACTGCAACAACATTAATATACGCTATTGGAGCTGGAATTACCGCGGCTGCTGGCACCAGACTTGCCCTCCAATTGTTCCTCGTTAAGGTGTTTAAATTGTACTCATTCCAATTCCGAAACTCAAAGAGCTCCGGATCGTTATATATTGTCACTACCTCCCTGTGTCAGGATTGGGTAATTTGCGCGCCTGCTGCCTTCCTTGGATGTGGTAGCCGTTTCTCAGGCTCCCTCTCCGGAATAGAACCCTGATTCCCCGTTACCCGTTGTTACCATGGTAGGCCACGATCCTACCATCGACAGTTGATAGGGCAGAAATTTGAATGATACACCGAAGATCGGTTCGACAAGATATTATGAATCACCAATGTGTTGGTTTGTATCTAATATATACGCCAAAAGGCAGTCATGTATTAGTTCTGAAGTTATCACGGTTATCCATGTAAAAAACTATCAAATAAACGATAACTGATTTAATGAGCCGTTCGCAGTTTCACTGTATAATTGTTTATACTTAGACATGCATGGCTTAGTCTTTGAGACAAGCATATGACTACTGGCAGGATCAACCAGATAAGTATTGTTGATGTTTTTGAAGAGATCAACGAGTTCTCTCATGTACTTTTTTCGTTAGAAAGGCAATACATTGCCGGGTAGTTGTAGAGGATATCTAGCAACCCACTAATTCGGATGAATGTAGTGCTTTACACCGCTGTGTCGGGTTTCCCCTTGTAGTATTTGCGGTAGCAGGGAAGCGAGGCGCCGGTCAGGGGGGAGAGAAGTGAGGGGGAGAGAAGTGGTGGGTACGGGGGGTTTATGGGAGCACAGAAGGGAGGATAATTTCTCATAAACTGACCGACTTGTGCTGCTTCTGGTTGGCTACATTATCTCCTTACACTTTTCTTTTGATTGCTTCTAGCGTCGCAACAAAGAAAATGGTAGTTTGCAGGCTACAGACTTGGAAAAAATCAAAGTCCGGAGCACTGGGAAGCATTCTGGGACTCTCAATGTCAATCTGGATCGATCCCGGACCTTCACACTTGCCTAGAACACCCAGAAACACCAAAAAACTGATCTTAGTCATCAAGGTTAGGTTAGGGTTTGCCTTGTTTCAGATTATTGCCTTGTTTGGACCGAAAAACTCTAGTGAGGTTGCCATGTGTAGTTGATTTGGGATGTGTAAATTGAGCAAGGGTAAAAACCAAAAGTGGGTGGAATCACCTTAAATCAACGCAGTAGCCTCTCTGTTACCTCCAAAATCGAATTCTCCTTTAAAATCCACCTCTGGACCTCTCCTCGCCCGTGTAGACCATTTTCCCCTTTCAATTAAGCTCATTTTAACTTTCGTAATGTCTCAACCTCCAATATGATAAACTGACTAATCGACGATAATCTGACTAATCGGAAGAATCGATAATCTACTAATCTGACTAATCAAAAAGAAAAGAATAAAACAAATAAAACCAGAACAAATCGAATTTACCGGGAAAAAATAAATAAGACATCAGAACGCATGAAATCCGATTATAAGAACCAAGTTACACCCCAATTATGATTTTTAGCCCATTCTGAGGAAAACCAGATTTTCTGAAATAAATCGGAAAATCAAATAAAATCAAATAAAATCAGAAAAACGATTAAGACAGTAGAAAACGAGGAATCCGAATCCAACAGATTGTTAGAAACAGCCGATACCCCACTTATCACCTTTCTTGAAAAAATTCCACTCTGACGAAAACCGGATAAAATCAAACAGAACACGTACAATAAATCGGAAAAATCAAATAAAACCAGATAAAATCAGATAAAATGCCTAAAGCATTAGAAATCCACCCACCAGTCCATCTCACCAAGGGATCAACAAATAACCTATAAAAACTGATCAAATTTGAAAAATTAATAAAAACCACAAACCACCCCCAACAACCCCACGCAACTAAAGCCTCGTACCAATTAAGAGAATCTTAATAGGTACTGGATGTAATTCAAGAGCGTTAGCACACGAAATTTGGAGTGTTTCTGAGCACTTTCGCTGGTTTACCGGTTGTTTGTGGTTTATGCTATAGATCTGAAATCACCAAGTTCTCACTTAGGCTATAGATCAAAAGCACCAACTTCTACAAGCTATAGATCCTAAAACACTGCCTGGATAAAAAAAAAAAAAAAATATCCCCCTCCACAGCAAAGACTCAGATTACACAACACTGCATAAAAAGCAACACTGCAAAGAAAATAATGCTCGCACACGCGAACACAGAAAAGAAGTCATTCACAGATACCAAGTCCTGACAATGTACAGGGAGTGGTCGTCGAGAATGGCAGGAAAAGACAAGTCCAGGAAAAATACAAGTCCAGGACAAGTCCAGGATAAGTCCGGGATAAGGACAAGTCCAGACAATCCAGACAATCCAGACAAGTCCACACAAGGACAAGTCCACAGCAACAAATAGACAAGTGCACAGGCAACATTACGTCAGTCCTAGAACAACGCATGTTGCTTGGGCTCTCCGTCCTTGCTCCATACCACTCGCTGCGCTCGTGGCATGTTCGTAATCTAAACAACAAAGGCTTAATCTCAATAGATCGTAACAACAAGGCTACTCTACTACTTACAATACCTCGTCGTATATAAAAGTCGTCTACAATGGATTTCACAAGGGTAAATCTTTACAATCAGGGAAGAGCAGACAATTTCCTTATCCACCCAAATTCCCCCTCCGGTACTGCGATACTTATTCATATCCATCCTACCCCCTAATTCATCACTTCTAGCATGGGTTCTGACTTAGAGGCGTTCAGCCATAATCCAGCGGATGGTAGCTTCGCTGCATTGCCTGATCAGACAGCAGCAAACACCAATTATCCGAATGAACTGTTCCTCTCGTACTAAGTTCAATTACTATTGCAACAACTCCATCAGGGGAACTAAATGGGTGATGGGATTGGGAGTGGGAGGTAGTATGCAGGTTGTGTGATCCATTGTAGTTACGACTTTTACTGGGATCCGCTGTGTTGGGACTTGTGTCTGTTGGGACTTGTGTTTGGGTTCCTCGCTTCCGACTTCCGTGTTCCGATCCTAGAGTACCAGCGGTAGTGTTCCGGGTAGATAATTCCATATGCAGGGGTTCAAACCCCGACTTCCCGTCTTGCATGATGCAGGGGTGTACTTCCGTGCAGATGCCGAACCCATTGACAGCCGATACAACTGTAATTGCCAGCATGTGTGCATCAGAGAACGGTTGTTAGGGAATAGTGCTAACACCGAGATCCATATTGCATCATGCACATGTACATTAGGAAGATGCAGCAATGTGTTGTGGTCTATGTTGTCACTCTCCCCATGATTATTCGTTTTCCACAGACTATATCGAATTGTAATGATCCAAATAACCGTCGTTATAGAAAATTCCAATTTTCCCCATTTCAATATGTTCATTTTCCATCAAGCTAGTGCTTCTGAACTCCTGTCCTTCGCATTCTTCCATCCCTGTCAAGTTCAAATTAATGCAAGTGTCTCTGAGACGTGCATGATTAATGACGCGTAGAGGGATCCACTTGCTATTAATAGACCCGGGTTAGGGTAGTTGTGGGCCCTGATTCCATCCATGAGAGTCCCATTATATCCTACTGTCATTCTAGTGTTCTATTCCATAGCTATAGCCGATGTTCTACCTTGGATTAGACTTTCATATCTCTCCGTATAGATCGTACAACTTAGTGATGAAGTGCAAAGGTTAGAACTGGCAAGTCCAACCGGAAAAGGGATGATCAAGGTCCAATGAAACGCCTTGGAATTGTAATCATATCTATATGAGTTGCCCATTATTTTCCTTTTACATATTTCATTATCTGTGCAAGTCTGGGAGTCATTGAGTGGAATGTGTTCACTATGACGTATGATTTGTGGGACTCCATAAACGAAGCTTACACCTGCCCAATAGAACGTGTCCAAGTGAAAACTTTTCATTACCGTTCCGTTCCGACCCGAATCCAGGTAGGAGACCAGCTCCCACTTCTTGCTCTTTGCTCGGGACTTGGATTGGGACTTTGCCAACTTCTGGTGGTGTCGAAGCTTGCCAAATTGACCAAGTTGGGAGTAAATGGATTGGGAGGTTGGAGCCTTGCAAGAAGACTCAGAGGCACTCTCCCAAAGGAAGCTGTACTGGGATCCCACCCTCTCTTTCTAAAGCAAGTCCCAAAGACAGCTGTACACTCTCTTTCAAGCAAGTCCCAACTCAGAGAGCTCCATTACAGAACTCCAACAGAGAGCTCCCACATAGAACTCCCACCCATAATCAGACATAGAGTCCCTTTAAAATACAATTCCACCTTCAGTAGCAGTTCATATTCATAGGGACATAATAAATGACAATTTGGGGATGCTTTATGAAACAATCCAACACGAAGACTCCCAATAGATCCACCGAACACAGCTCCATAATCTCAAATCAATAGAATAAATTTGACATCCCCTTCCATATCCGTTTAGGCAACTCCATATACTTGGATTCCATACGCTCGATATTGATGCCATTGCATTGACGCTTTAACCAGAACACAGGCTTCTCCCAATACAGAACTCCATTACAGAGCACTTAGTGGTAACCCATAGGCATAGAGTCCCTTTAAAATAGTATCCCATCTCAGTTGCAGAGGCACAATATAACTGAAAATTAGTGCATGCTTTATGAAACAACCCTTGGGAAGACTCCAATAGAACCGCCAAAATAAATCTCCATATAGTAAAGGCCCACAACATCATCTGTCATCTCGATAGAATAAACTTGACATCCTTCCATATCCCTTTAAACATATCCATACATACACATGGACTCAATACGCTTGATATTAACACTGGCGCTTTAACCATATCAAAGGCTTCTTCCAATGCAGGCTTGATAATATAGGGACATTTCCATAAAACAATACACATCACATCAGCTGGA